AGAATTTATGTACATTTCGATACGAAGTAAAAAAACTTGCGGTCTTTGGAACATGCAGTTGAATTAACAGAGGGAATATTGAAGCCGAATAAATCTTGTGGGAAGAAACGACTAAAAATTTCATTGAACTTTGTTGCTCTTGGTTTTTATTAGAAAATGTGATTATCTCTGTTAGTCTATTACATAGAAATGCATTCAGATGAACGTGATATAAACCAATGAAGAGCAGAATAATCAGTTGAATATTCAATGAAATGTTACGTAAAAGTTCATCGAGCTGTCGTTGATCATGTCAATCGTCCGAATTGCGTCTATTTCCTTTGCTGAACATCAATGATAGGGGGCGAACAGCAAAGATAATTGCATATAGATTAGATGGGAATGATTAAGGCTTCCCTCAAGATAGACATACTATCAAAATTCACACAAATCGACCTGCTGTATCAAATCCCGAAATCCCGGGATTTTTCAAAACTTAAATCCCGGGATCGGGATCAGAACTGCAATCCCGGGATCCCGTGCAAACCTTAGACTAGACTACACTATGTTTCAGACTAGACTAGACTTCAGACTAAACTCATACTGGATTTTTGAGCAGACTGATAAAAACAAATTGTTCTTTCATAGTGTAACCTATGAGTAGCTGAGAGAGAGACGAAAACGCATATCATGAAAACGACAACAATCCGTTTGCATTAGTCAACTTAATTGACAGCTTGATTTGAAAGTTCTTTTTCTTTTGGTTAGTAATCAGGTGATAATGAACAAATTATCATGGAATGTCCTAAAAATATTCTTCATTCGTCACTTTCAGAAGTCAGATTTTTGGAGTCATCATCAGGAACGGCAGCAATAAAAAGATGTCTCCAATCGGTCACCTATTATGGATTACAGCCCTACAAATCACGCCACTTTAATGCATCACCTTATTCGACGTGACTTTTTATTGCTCGCTCCTCTCGCATGTCCATCAATCAGATTTTGCAAACATTTGATCAACAGCCCAGCTAATGAGTGAATGTTAGTCAACTTTGATTCGCTGTCGTCATGGTTTAGAGTGACTGATAAAATTTACCCGTCTGAAGTGTATATCGTCGTTATTGATGCACAATTCTCATGAACACTGGACACTGTGCAAATATTGTTCTGTATAATACTCATATTATGTACAAACTTTTACCGTAGTATACTAAACTCAACACCACATCATATCACCACATATCTTATCAAAAACTATGCAATGCAATTCTTTACGATCTCTCATCTGAATTTACTCCTTTCATTTAGCTTGCAATCACCTGAGCTTTTCTTTTCCCTTGAACCATACACAAAAACAGACATCTGCTGATTTCAGCATTTTTATTTGAGCTAATCAAAGTAAATTCACTGTGTATAAATGGTGCGTTCACTTCAGAGTGATCACATTTCAAATTTTCAGCAGCATACAGATTCGATCGTTGCGATCACCAACTTCAAAATGTGTCACTTTCACTCGAGTTTTCGCACCACGAAAACTTTCTTCATCCACCAGTCTCTTTTCATTGTGCCCCTACAAATTGACCATGATCGTTCGAACCGATCCTCCGACCTGATGCTGGCCGTGAAATAGTGTGCAAATAATATTTCATTCCAGCAATTCCATGACCATCAATCACATAAACAAAGTTGAATTAGTTCGATACTGTCAAAGTAAAAGAAGAAATTTTCAGGTAAAAAGTGAAATTTAAAGCAAACGCTGCACAATGAAGACGTTACCGGTGCCAGCAATACTGCTGTTATGTGTTGCCCCACTTTTTACAACTGCCTATCATTACTGCTCCGAGGATACGACGTGTGATCAATGCACCAAGGAAGGATGCAGGTAAGCAATTGGCATTGACTTGATTGTTTATATTTTGCATAACTTAATGAGAGTTGTTTCTGTTTTCAATGTTCAAAGCTAAAATACTATACGGATTGTACGAACAAAACAATCGTGCAGATGGTGCCCGTCATCAAATTCGTGTGTCAGTTACTGGTCTTTGTCGTGTGTTTCTGACCGTATCGCTCAACCGGAACTGTGCCCCATTGACACGAAGCCCATGCGATTCGCTTTCGTCGATCAATTCGCTCGTGAAATAATGCTACCAGTTTCGGCGGCCGCATATTCGAAAACGCCGGAAAAATGCTTCCAACACATTCTTAAAGATATTAAGGTTCATAGTTGAATTTTAATCAACCGCTTACGGTGGTTTTCCTCTTTAATTTGAAGAAGAAGGAGGAAACAACAACAATAATCGTCTTTTGTGGTTAAAAAAATAACGTTTGATTGTTCATGTCGCTTATCAGTTGATTGTTATTTTCAGATAAAACGACACCTTACGTTACCGCGTCTTGCGTCATCCACACCAGAAGACACATGCTCAGGCTTCACAGCCGTTTCGCACCAGCGAAAAGCCATCATTGTTAGTTTCAGGTAGGCGGAATCCTTTTTCTGAAAGAACAACACGATTTCAACTATCATATAGTTGCGTGAAGAGATAATGTGATTCTAAAATTGCAGAGGTACCACAACAACTAAGCAGCTGTGGTTAGAAGGTGTTGAATCGGTGTTCAGATATAAAGTTAAAATGCCATCAGGTGGTGAGGTAATACAGTTTGAAGAAGATCCTTGTGTCTCTTTTGTTTCAGCCAAATAAAAACTACTGATCAGAATCAGTGAGAGCCATGCAAATAAATTGAATTAAGTGATTTAAGCCAATTTTTACAGGTTAGCAAATACTTCTTCGATGCTACCAACATATTATGGCAAAATGGTATGATGCAAGATGTCTTCGAATTGCATGGAAATCATTCCGATTACGAAATTTGGGTGAATTTTGATGATTGAACTCATTGTTTAGTCGACTGATTAGTTTTTCTCCGAACCGTTTTCCGTGAAAGCAAGTGATATCGCTGATGAAAATGTACAAACTTTAAAACAGTCTTCTATCTGCTGACACGTTTGAGCCGATGCATTAATCAAGAGGAAAATAGAGGAGAGATCAACTAATAGATCGACTAATCGCTGTGAACAATCGAATCATTTTGCATCAACAAGCGGTTTTCGTCTCGTTCCAGGTAACTGGACATTCGCTGGGTGGAGCGATGGCTTCAATCGCCGCTGAAATGATTGCCGAATCACCAAAAATTGCGAGAGATCAAATTAAACTCGTAACGTTTGGACAACCACGAATTGGAGATGAAACATACGCTGTTCATCATGATAAAATGGCATGTTACTTTCTATGCTTGCTTCCATCCAAGTGATAACGTATTCGCGAAAGCGATTCACAAATTGAATTGATTTACAAATTCAGTGAGCCAATTAGTCAGTTTTGATTGAACGAATGGAACTTCAATCAATTGTGCTCAGCAAAAAAATTCGCTTTTTTGTCGAGGATTCTATTACAAATTTTCAGTTGCCGTATTCCTATCGAGTAACACACTCGAAAGACTTAGTGCCTCATTTACCACCGCAAAAGTTCGAAAATTATCGACACCACGGTAATGAGGTATGTTTAGTGCATGATTCTTGTCACAAAAATACGTATTCACTTCACCGCTAAATCCACTTCTGAGTTGTTCATTTGCTCGATACTATTTTTTATAGATTTGGTATAATAATGCAATGACACCTGGAAGTTCGTATCAGGAGTGCACGATGCTCGAAAGCGAAGCGTGCAGTAATTCGCTATATTTTGCGATGTCGATCGCGGATCATCTCAATTATTACGATTTGGTTGCGGCTGTGTTTGGACGAGCAGAGTGTAATATACTTTCATATAAGTCGAACTTTAAGCAGCTGATGAAGCAAATAGAAGAGGAGGATCGCATTCAACGAGTGATCTAACACTTCTTGGATTGACATAATCAGCTTTAAATAAAACGTGCAAACAAACAAAATTCTTTTATAATATGTGCATAAATTGTTTGGCAAGAACGCATGCCATTTATTTTGTGATAATAATTGTTCTGCTAGGATCCTTTTATCGAATTCTTTAATGGTATCGGTTATCGTGCTATCAGTGAATTCAGATATCGAAGTCGTATAAATTTTATCAATGCGTATTCAGTCTTATTGCATGCACGAGCCAATACAGATAGAACAACAAATGTGACTCTTTGGCTATATTATATCCAAAATCAAATTGGAAGACCCACCTCAATTAGCCATATGTGATGTAATTTTTGGGCATCTTGAAGTCCACAATGATAATTGTGTCAGCAATAACAATTATTTTACCAATCCTAGTGATTATGTCCTAAGACAAACGGATTTGTGGGAAATAACCTCCGACTGAACTCACATCTCGTCGGTGGAAAAAACCACTTCAGTAAACAATCGAAGATGGAAACTTGAATGATGAGCAATATCTGTTGATTCAAATACTGATATTTTAGGCATTGATGCTCTGAATAATATTGATATCAGATAACATATTCAAAAAATATTGATATTTCTGATACACTAACTGTTGATATATAATCAATTACTTAAATATCAATATGGATGTTTCAATCATAATGTTTCAAATCTATCCGAGACCGTCAATGACATTTTAAAAACCACCAGTGGATACAAAAAACATCGTCAACAGATCAAAAAAATTTTGATGACAGAGGAACCGCATTTTGAAACTCTTTTTCAGATATTTAGAGATGAATGCTTTGTATCGAGTGTATCACCGTTAAGGTACTACATAAGTATGAGCATATGCTAGGTATGATTATGGACAAATGCTGATATCAATGTTGCAGTATTAATCAGACCAATAAGATTTATTTATTTTAAATAAAAGCAAAGCAATCATATGAATTACTTTTTTACTTTCAACGCTCAAAATGTCATTTTAAAAATCATTGCTGCTTCACATGATCACGGAATGTACTGATTCCATTATTCGATCAGTGTGCTCGATTGTATAGTAGGAAACGAAGAATTTCATGTTGTTTTATCACATATGAGCAGCATTCCAAAGACTTTTTTTTACATAATACGCAGAGAGCGTTTATGAAGAAAGATGACAAATGAAGAGAGCGAATCATAGCAGAGTCGGCCATTTTCAAAGAAGTAAGAGCAATTACCGTATGCTAAATATGAACATTATACGTAAATAGCGTATAAGATACTATTTTTGGAACAATAAAAGAAACAGTGCCCGAGATTACCTAAAACCAAGTTAATTGATAAGCAGCATGCCCAATCTTAATGCCGGAATGGACCGACTTTTGTCGACGTATTTTTTACTCCAACTGCCTCATTCTCATTCTCTGATCCACTTAGAGCACCAGATTACACTCGTTCAACTTCACGAACCATTAAAATGGAAACTTCAAACCATGTTAAAGTGAATGTTATGACCCATTATTTCACAGTTAAGGCCCTGACTCGACTAATGCTTTTTGCAAAACTTATCGAGCTGACGAGAACAGCCGCAGCGGACCGCTCTTAAACTGTATAAGTGTTCAAAAGCAAGCAGATGATCGACCATAACATCAGTAGTGGTTATAATGAACACGTGAATCAGTATTGTTGATTTAAAGAAAATCAAAATATTCTCACTCTTAAGACTAGAACACGCAATTACTAAAATGGTTTCCTTCAAGAACGAAAAGATTGTCATTGACAACATATTATGCTTGCCTCAGAACTGATCAATATAGCATCAGCAAATTATGGTGTTAGCGATAAGATTCGATCGTAAAGGCGGTCTGAATACTGTTATTCCAATAGTTAGGTGATAACTTGAGAAAAATAGTCAAACTTCTACATCAAAGTATTTCTCGTCAGTATAATTCATATTTTCCTTGCAGCCTGGTATTTCCTCTATCTAAACAGAACATCAATTTGCATGGTTATAGACAGACTATGATGATCGGAAGATAGCACTCCTTACACTGACCGCTATAGCGAGGCGTTGTTGATTAACGCTAAAATCAGATGCAATTTTGCGCTCTAGCTGAATTTTGCAGTCATGGAACACACCTTCACAAATTCATGTGGGTCTTTGCGTTCACTGCCGACAATATACACAAAGCCAAAAATTGAAAATTGAAAAAAGAGCTAAAATACCCTAGTAGAATAGGGTGAATCTATTTAAAACGAGGAACTTGTCCGCTGTCGCTGACTTGCTGTAGGTAACATTTTTCACTCGTAGAATCTCATTTATTTCAGCTGATTTAAATTTGTGACTTCATTATTGGCCAAGTGAAGTGAGTAAAAAATCTGGCTATTGAATGGTATGATAAGCCAAAGCAGAATCATTACATAAGATATGATGAAAAAACACTTTAAAGAAGTTTCTTTATTATCAAGAATAATCAGACAATTCTCTTCAGATAACGGTAATACACAGATCGAGTTGAAATTAGCAAAAGAAAGATAAACTTGCAACAAGATGCGTTTTGTTCATGAATTCAGAATTGCTTCCCTTAATGATTCGGCTATACACCATCCTTTATCCGGGTTCTCAACGCTAGCCACGCACCGCTCATCCCAAGCACAACCAGGCTATAACAAGCAGTGTTTTTGATTGAACTTTTGATACACTTCACCATACCGTATGGATCAAAAATTTGAGAAAAAATGCGTAAAAATCATCTCAAAAATAAGGATCAAAGATTTCTCCAAACATGGATAACCGACGAATATCTAGGAACAGATTAGCAAAGAAAAAGCCGAACCTTAATTGCATCCGGAAGACAAGAGGTGATGCTCAAACGGTCTTTTACTTCTGGAACGCCTACTTTTTGATAATAGGCTGTCGGATCTGGATGATTCAATGACTTTGGATGGTACTGTTGGGGGTCCACTGCATACGGTGAATTTGTCGTTTCACTCTCTGGTTCAGCTGCAACTATTCACAAAATTGCGCAAATGATCTTAACGATCACAAATATATACTGAATAGATAATCAAAGCGAATGTCCATGCAAAAATTCTCCTTCCTTCCTTTTTGAAGAAGAAAAGAACTCGACAAGAACTTCTCTGTTGAAAAAGACATGCAAACAGAAAGAATACCTATCAAAATCAAACACTCAATTTCGGTACCTGCATCAGTTTTTATTTCAAACGTTTCAATGGCAGTCGAATCAAATCTATCATTATCCAACTGTGGAATAATTTTCACGAAATAGCGCGTTGATGGTCGTAAATTCTTTAGCACCACCGTATGCTTCAATACAAGAACAAATGCATAAATGAATGAATAAAGAGTCATTTTCTAGTTCATATTAAAATTATGAACTGATTGCAAAAACATAACGATCCAACTTAATACTGCAAATAATAATGATTGTAATCAAAACAATAGCAAGCATGTTGATAGCAATAACAAGAACGATGAAATCATGAAACTTGCTGCATCATCATAAGCAGCAATAAAACGCTCGAGCATGGATTAAAATCACCAACTTGTTGTGGATCGGACACATCAACTCTCGACCAGTATTCCATGCCCAGGTCATTTCTGTCTGTGTAAAGAACCGTTGAACTGGTGACCGAATTGCTGATGGCGTTTGGATAAGTCCATGAGACACGTACCTGACCAGGACCAATATTGCGATATGCCAGTGAATTTGGCTCTCGTATTTCCACTGCATCCTCTGTGCGATCTGAACAACCAAAGAAAATACCGTGATCGTTATATTCTTCAGAGTAATCATCATCATGGTGTTGTTCATTACTGCAGTCGATTATGATTTCATGAAAAACTATTGTACATGACACGTTCACTTCAAACTGATTTAGACGAATTCTCATTCTTTTCAGACGTGTTGTATTCGCTCTCATAGCTATTACATGCGAATATCGTTCTCTTGATGAGTTTTTCTCATTCACTTCGTCTCATTTCACTTCACAGTTCGAATCAATTTCTTATTCTGTAGCATATACTATGTATTGGATACATTGACGAGTGTTGACAGCCGAAATCAACAACACAGCAATCGAATATTATTGCCCAACAACGTTCGACAATCAAATGATCAAATATAGAGTGTATTTGATGGAATGAGAAATTGACTTCAACTGTTGAGTGAAATGAATGAGAAATTAGTAAAAGAGAACACTTCTGATGATAAAAGCTATGAGAGTGATTGTAACAGCAAGAAAAGAATGAAAACCCTGTTAGGCCCGGACGAGCTAACGATACTTAGAAAATAGGAGAATGAAGAGTGTTGCCATCAACTGACCACATTAACATACCCGAATTGAAAAACACCATAACAACCGTGTTCTATCATCAAATAATAACTGCACGAAGTACTAATTTCCCAACCTCCTCCATTGCCCCTTGACACCTCCAAACTACCCAAAATAGGTAATTTCAGCCCCTATGAGAACCACTGCATTAATGGAATGAAGAATCCACCAAATGAAAACAAACATTCACTCACCCATTGTGCGAAATCTGTAGATACTTGGTGCACGTATCACGCTTCCATCCAACTTTCTAACATTCACACGTACATAATAAGTGGTGGCCGTTTTTAGATCTGGGAGTGATAACGATCCCTCTTGATTGTCGATTTGAATGTGACGCCATTCAGAATCCGGAAGATCCTTATCTTCAGTCAAATATACATCATAACCACTCACCAAGTAAGTCGGTATGTGCCTTTAAAGAAAGAATACTACAAGGATTTATTCGCCATGTCAGATTAAAAAAGGCATAAATCAAATGCTAATGTGAACAAATGAATGCGACTGACTCTGGATTGATTAGCTTAAAATAAATTCGTTGTTTGTTTGGTTGTATTATGAAAACAATTTCTTATAATATGTACTAAATCAAATGATGTGATAATTTCACACTTCTTAACAGAACTGCTAGAAATATTACAAATTATGGATAAAGAAAGAGGAAGTTGGCTTGGAAATAAACTTGATGAAAACGAGGTGCATGATATGTGGTCAAGCGTAGAGACTACAGATGACGGTATCACATCAGGGAATAGAGCTTATGGAACAGTATATTTATCTAGGGCAGGAGATAAACATGAAGCAGATTTCGGTGGAAAATTAACAAAGTGATCAAGGTGGCATGGTTTTCATAATTTTAACACATCAAATCGTGAGAAAGTGGAACGCTTTTATGCTTTAATCAATAGCATTTGATTGACATATGATAATGATGCTTATCAACAAGTGAATGTGTTAGGCATTTCTCTTCAGTCAGTGCAAACAAAGTGAAATAATTGAATACTTACGGTTCCAGTATCCATTGTAGTCTGACCAAATTCGCTTCATGTGAGTAGATTACATCCACTTTGCTGATTGGATTCGCAACGACTGCAAACAAATCAATCGAACAACTTTCAAATTCACAAATTTAGTGCAAACTAAAGAATTTTTGCCATCGCACCAAGAACTTTCATCAGTTGATCTCTTGCAAAAATCAGTGACCGTTTCACCATCACTAACCAATCAGTGTTATTGTACGTGGCTTTTCAGAGAGCTAATCAAATGTTCATGAGTCATTGATAACAATACTAATATCACAACAATAGCAACAATAATACAATAATAGAAATATGATACTAATATAATAGTAAAAGGTGAACGAATGAATCCAAAAAAAAAACTATGCAACCTGTCAATAATTCAACTAACCTTCTGGGGTTTTGAATTTGAATTGGCCACTCTCAGTGGCGAGGTCGTTTTGCAGAATCGTTCTGATTTTCAACAAGTACTCCGTGTCACTAAAAAACAATCTTCGATAAATATTCGTACCAAACGTTCCACATAAAATTTTTTCTGAATTTTAATTTACAAAAGAATAAGGCCTGGTTGATTATGCTCGTCGATATGACAGATTCGACCTTTGAAGAACAACAACAACAATAAACCTCTTCAAATTGGTCAACGTTGCCATCGGCTTCTGTCCACTAAACTGTAGTCTTGACCAGTGACCGGAACCTGCCTCTGAGTACTGGACATCGTAAGCTGTAAAAGTAAGACGAATTTAGAGTTGAGAATCGGTTGACATAATTTTCCGTTGCATCATTCAGATGTTCGTTTCGATCTCATCAAAAACTGATTCAGACGTTCAGAAATGTGTTAGTGATCGAAAAAAATCAGAAATCGCTTTCTGGTTTAGATTTAAACGATTCAAATGATTTATATTTATCAGAGTTTTCTCTCTACAGAGAAATGTAATTATCGGAGTTTTCTCTCGCAAGTTTCAAAGAGTGATTCGAATGCTGAGTTAATGATAATAAGAAATTTTAACTCAGAGGCAAATTGGTCACTAGTGAATAAATGTAAAATATAACAGACTTACATTTGATTTTACGCTGAATATGTGAAGGCACTTCCCACGTAAGATTTACCACTCCGTGACCACCACTTTTGAAATGACTACTAATCACCAAATTACCCACTTCGAAATACTCATCTTCTAAATGTATTTTCAAACTCTTCATATGATTTTCAAACGAAAATACTTCGCTGTGTGCTTCACAATGAGTGTAAATCATAATTTTTCATTAACAACTCTAAATCGAAGAAGCCATCAACGCAATCAATAAACAACTGGTTACCTCGAGGCATTGTTATTTCAACGATCGCTGCCGTACTCGATATTCGCTCTGGACTGGTTGCTGTTCGTATTGTCATCTCGTACCGTTCTCCAGGCATTAGATTTCCCAACGCAAAATTATTCGCTTCAATCTTGATCTACAGATTGTTGTCAAACTAAGGATATCATAACGAAGTAATTCGTATTTCCTCCGTTTCATCCTCCCACCTACCATCCCCCCCCCCCCCCCCCNCCCCCCCCCTCCTCCTCTCCCCATCATAAATAAAGGAAGAATCTTTTGGTCGCTTTGCCATAACCTTCAATCAATAGCGAAATCATCTGATTACTAATCCTAGGAAATCGCTATTCCTCCTCAATAAATTGACGGAATCGCAAGATACGCACATCAATATTGTCATATTTACCTGTTGTCTAAGGAGCATGCCACCAATTTCAGACGTTAATTGCTTCACGTTAACAATATAATAAAGACCTGTAAAAGTTGAACACATTGAACATGAAATAAGCAATCTTCTTAACTGATAGAATCACTATATCATTTCACTTTAACTTAGTAGTATATCATTACCAAATGGTTTTATGTTCTATTGAAGATTTCAAAAAGTCGTGTTAAGATTAAGGTTCCAAAAGAAAGGATAGATGAAGTGTGCCTGGAGGAGTAGGCTAACGATAAGTGAATTTTTAAAGTAAGACTGGCACGAAGACTAACGAAGGAGTAGAGTTGTAGTTGGCGATATTTTTAAAATTATTTGTTAGTTTGAGCAAAAAGGACAAAAAAAAATTCAGAAGGCCTCGTGCATCTAGCAAACTTGGTTTGGAGAGAAGAAGATGAATCAACCACGACGACCTTCGACATTTTCTTTGCTTGGTGTCCATTCCAATCGTGCACTTGATGGACTCAGAATACTTGCTGTAAAATCGAGTGGCGGTAGCAAGTCGTCATCGTCCACATAAACGTCACCAATGAGAACGCGTTTCGTCACTGTGATCAACAACGATTGACTCCAATCGGCCACTAACTCAGCGCCGCGTTCTATTTTCACCTTAAAAAAGCGCACATCTTATCAATGCGCTTGGCTATGTGCAAAAAACGATCTCGTTTTCAGTTTACACACTATCAAATTCAACAAAACTTCAAAGATTTATCACAACAAAACTTGTGGTAATGTATTATTCTATCATAATGTCAACTTTGAAAAGTTCGAACTTTGATCAGTCCAAATGTAATGAATGGCTCGAATTTTTCCATCGATAAGTTATCTTATTGACTAATGCATACGATTAGTAAATTACCCATAAAGAGTATCTTCAAAAAACAAAATATATTCCCTAGTTTAACAAAACGCACACCAACCTGGACTTGTAGTTCATCGCCATTCCGTAATTCAGCCAGATTCAAACGTGCCTGATTATCGGTTGTTCGAACATACTTCCATGTTGAATCATCTGATTGCCTGTTCGTTAATCTATATCGTACCGTGTAAGTTACACCTGAACGTAACACATAGTTGATGCTGCCGAATTTTCACAAAAGCAATCAAGACCATTTACTGGTATAACTTCCGGCGACTGCATTTCCCGCTAAAAGTTTGCTGATAAGTGAAAAACGGATGAACTCACTATCTGCGATGCCTTCAGATGACCACTCAACAAAAATTGCGTCTAGCTGATTGTCGAAACGAGCACGTAAATTACGAATAGCTTGTTGTTGTTGTTGTTGTTGTTGCTGTTGCTGGTGATGATTATGCTGAGGGTGCGATGAAACGACGAAAATATTTTGGAAAATGATAGCAGTTAGCAACAACTCAAGATTGAACGACGTTATTGACTTAGCAATGTTCCACATGCCATCAATTTGCACACCTTACCTCTCACCAGATAAAGTAATAATGTTCTAAAACACTTCTCAATAAAAGCAATCACCTCACCTATACTTTAAGATGTATGTACATATATTATCACTAAATTCAATATGGCTGCCTGCTGTATTCATTTCCTTGGCTATCTGTATTGTAAGTAGTGCATATTAATTTCATTATTATTATTATGATTATTATTATTAATATTATTATTATTATTACTATTAGTATTAATATTATTATTGCGATTATTATTAATATTATTATTGTTATTATTATTATCACCAGTTTTATTAGTTTATGGCTAACTGTTTGCATGAAACGACTGATAAGATGATGCACGACACACACACAAACCCATCGTATTTACAGATATTCATTTATAAATTTAGTATAGTGATATTTTCATATGCGTGCTGCTATCTGTATGTGCATATACGTTTGTTCAAATTAAATTTATCACTCGCTCTGTTGTTCACCTCTAGAAAAGAGAGCAACGAAATTTGTTGGCTGCTAACAAAACCACCGAAGTTGAATAAACCCAAAATCTATCGTAATCAATCATGACAGCAACCATTAATACTAACATAAACAAACCACTACATTTAATCACTTCTATAAAATGATCAATGAATAAGTTTATACCTATGAACTTGTATAGATACAAAGGAAAGGAAATTTTCAAATGTTGATTTTTCTTCATATTTTGATGATTTTGTAAAGCTACCGCATCTGTGTATAGCCAAAATCCAGCTTTAAGCTTCCAGTATTAAGATCAACTATAAATGTTTCGCTGAAGGCAAGATGGGAATAGGCAAGAATTTCCAACAAAACGACATATGAACAAATTCTTGCGCAAAAAAAAGGAGTAATTTTCGATACTCCAACTAGTGAGTATCCTTCACTCATTGAGAATATGTGAACATCTTATTACCCTTACTTTCTTTTTCTTAATCTTTCACGTGACTAAATCATATTCCATTCACCGAATCATATCATTCCTCATTTAGCTTCCTAATATCAGTGCACTCAGTATGATCATCCTACTTTATCTATATGCATTGAATTGGCATCGATAGGCTAATAGTACCTTTACGATAATCACGATACAATTACGGTAGAATTATTTTTCACAATTTTAGCAAAATTTTTCAAATCATTTCATGCACTTTTAATCACATTTGAATTTTACAATGTAATACAATAATAATTTTAAAATGGTTACAATAATGATTGTTATCTGACCACGACTTCATCTCGAAGATAGAGTTGCGATCAGGTGAGTAGTTGCTCGATACTTTTATTGTTTCTGCTCGTTATTTGTCCAGAATAGTTGACATGTCCTGGTTGTTGTGTTGTTTGATTGTGAGTAATTTTTGGTAGGGTTTTGTTTTTTATCATTTACCATTTTCTTGGTCATGGAATTAAGGCCACTTTCTATCAGTTTTGAGAGATCCTATCAGAAGTAGAGGTTTTTTATTTGTTTACGATATCAAATTCTTTGAGGTTGTGTGATTGCATGTGCTATAACCCTTTGAATTAGTTTCTTTTGAATCATCTATTCATCCCCTAATCTGTCTGTTTATTTTAATTCTTTTCAGTTTCTCTTTATTAATTCACTCCAAATGAACTAAGCCACTGAGCGTATATTATATGGTCTGGATATACAAATATTGAACAAATGAAGATTCTTACTCATAAATCACTTTACGACTAATTTGATACGGTTGAATGAAAGAGTAGAGTCGCTTATTCATCCATTGCAAACGAAATTTTGTTGTTGTTCATGCTTACTGCTGCTATTCCAAAATCATCAGCATCACATTTCTGTCCGGTTGCATTCGTTATGAGCTTAAAATTACTTGATATTTCATTGTTGATATTAGTTGGACCAGTTAGAAAACACACGTACTTATGGCACAATCCATTTATGTATATAAGGCGGAAGGAAAAGTGCAAAACAACTTAGGCAAATATTTACGTGTACGTATATTCAAAATTGCGTCTTTCCGTAAATGCCAGTGCTACGTAATCGTTGATAAACGCTCCGCTCATTGTTTCTCTGCTTCCTTCTATTTTCTCAATCGTTCCGCTTCAAATCCATCCATTCGGAAAGCGTCAAATTATTTTTCTGGAAGTGACATAACAGCGGATAGCAATCATTTTCAACCAACCATTCACCCAACCCTCTATCCTTTTTCACATGTGCTGCTTCGCTCAGTATTATTTGTTATAATTGTCGTCGTTTTTTGAAAATAATTCAGTGTGTTTAAAAAAAGTCTGTCATGTTTCTATTCGAAACAAATGCGTGTAGATTAATTACGCGAAATGTGATAAATTTCAATAAACAACTTGTTGGTCATAACACCGGGCTAACCGGTGGTAATGGACATCATTGGTGTGCATCCAACAGTAGTAGCAGTATTAGATACGCAGTTCTGGAACTCATCCTCATCAGCTAAATTACCAAACAATTTTTCGAACATTTTATCGCTCACTGAAGCTGATCTAAAATATATCATTTGCTGATGTGATCGACCACACACGAAATGTAATAGTTTCTTTGCTTTATTGTAATCAGTTTATATTGTGGTTTGTTACATGGGATTTATGTGATCAGTTTGTTGATGGTAGTGCGACAGTTTTTTTTTTTGTTGTGATTTTTGTTTGATTTGTTTGATTGTTTCACATATGTGGCTATCAGTGGCATAGCCAAGATTTTTTTTTTGCGAAGAAGGCGCATAATGGTTTGGTCCAAAAAATAGACGAATTTTAGGTGAACTTTTTTTACGTTTAGTTTTCTTCGTTCATCATCACCTTCCCCTTGCCCTTTCCCTTCTTGTTCCCAGTTCTTTCTCCCTTGCCCTTCCTTTCTCATTGTCCTTCCCACTTCCTTTTCCTTGTTCTTTTACCCACAAGGAGGGGGCGCACGCCTCCCCCCCCCCCCCCCCTACGTTCTCCTCCTCTTGTCTCGACCACTGGTTCCTATGCACCTACTATTCGATTCATTGATTGTTCACTAACGATAAATGAGAAAACTTGAGAATATTTGCGTGTGATGAAATATTCGCAGAAAAAGTGAACTGTAATACATAAGTGAGTTAAGTAAAAGCCATCACTTCAACACGACGCGTTTGCTGTTGTTATTGTTTCATGTAAAAAGAACGGTGCATGTCAGTGAAAATTCGTTTCGACAAATGATACAGAAAGTTGGTTTATTTAAATAAAACGATTGAATAAAAACGTAAAGAAATTGAAAGTTAGCAGAACGATGTTATAGTGATTATTATCTTCAACAATCCAACAAAGCATCCACATCAACAACAGCAATAATTTTTCAATTATAGCTTCTAAACTCTTAATGACCATTTTAATTTTCTTTAGAATCTATTCCTATAAATGAGAAATGACGCGGTGTTTGAAGGGGCAGTTAAAGACAGCATCTAATTAAAGTAGGTTAATATGCGCATTTGAAGATGAATATTCAGTTCTAAGAAAGTTAATGATCATGATTATGACTATGGTGATACAGATGATGATGATGGCACTCAGATAAAATTATTTCAATTGGTATATACATATACTGAGACGTATAGCAGTAGTAGGTGTGTGTGTGTGAGTGTGTTCGTTGTAATTAAAATAATCGATTTGAAATATTTTTTCATAGCAACTTGTATTTTTGAATAATAATTACATGCTATCATCCTTATATCATGAGGTCGTTAAGTTCTTATTAGGTGATGAATGACATAATTCTGATGTTGAACTCTCATGAGATACTCCTCAATTCTTCTGTCAGCATCAATTCCACCAACCTAATTTGCTTCATATTTATTTTAGCACTCCTTCTCATCACATCAATAATTTCATCGGGGTTACTTTCATGGATTTCATATGATATTGGTATACCATTGATTTTCCATCGAAATGAACCCGTAACATAACAATTACTAGTTCAGTTTTTTACCTACTAACCAGTGACTGATACTGGCTCTGATTCCGCTCGCAGGGTACGAATACTGGCTGGAAACCGACAGCATATCATTATCATCGATGTTATCAAGATAAAATGACTTGGTCCAATGCTAACCACACCTACGTGATTTTGGTATGATCATTGTTTTGCCGATCGCTTTGCAGCAATCTCACATATTTGCTCTCATAAAATTTGCCCGCCTCCTTTTGTCCCGTTCTTGCCTCTGTATGAATAGTGATCAAAATCCAACTAAAGTCATGACGCGCTCATTTGATATTCACTTCTGCTCAAGTTAGACGATAATAAATAAGGTATTTCATAAACAATTTGCTCATATCGTTATCGGATTAACGAGCAATATGCGAGATGTGAAATAATTAGGTTGTTTACTCAATTTTAAACTGGGGTTAATCAGTTGGATGCGCGAATATGTAAGTACACAGATATCCACGTAATGTTATGTAGTCATTTATAATGTTGTGATAATTTCCATGCTCAACTGCTACTTATCAACAGCATCACTATATCAGCATCATTGTGATTAGCTATAACTATCTCATTCATCATTAACTACCCCATACATCACTTCGCATACGCATAACTTTTCAGTAACACTTCCTATAAAGTTATTATTCCCATCAGATTAATTTATTCAATTAATTTTAAATACTGATGAATTGCCTATACAGCATTCCAGCCATATTTTCTTCAGGCTTTCATTCCAAGTGTTGCAGTTGACTGCGATACATTTTTCAAAATTTCAACAAGATGTTTCGCTTTCACGTTAAACTCCTCATACGTACTCGACTTTTTTCGCTGAAATCCTAGAGGTATAATGCGCGCTTATAGGACTCACTTGTCAACAATCCTTCGAGAGATCGATTCGTTTAAACTGCTTCTACTGTCGTTGACAGCCAACATGAACGTCCTAAAATTCAAATTCAGAATGTACGATTCAATGAAGTTCTCATCGTCACTCATAATACTAACTCGAGCTTTCCAGGTTAGTCT